GCAGCGGCGCCAGGGTGAGTCGGCTCTGTTGCGGACCACCAGGTACAGCGCGCCCGTCCCCAGGACACCCCTCGGGGAGCGGGCTGCGGGGCTACAGAAGAGCAACCTCCGCGCGCCCGCCGGGGAGGCCCGAGGGCGCGGGGCGGAGGGCAGCGAGGCGCGTGGGAACGCGGGGCCGGGGGTTGTTGCGGGGCCCGGGCCCGAGTCCGCGGGGAGGGCGGCGGGCTCCGCGGCCTGCGGGTCCCGCTCGGGTCCTTCTGGGCCAGGAGAAGGCAGGGGGCGCAGGGCCGGTACTCCTACTCCGCGCGCTCTCGGCCCCCCTCTTCCTGGAAGGCGGGAGCCTCGTCGGTGCTCCGCCTCGCGGCTGGGTTCCTGCCAAACTCCAAGTCCACCCGGCTCCCAAGTAGGGCCAAGTGGAGGGGAGGGGCGGGGTGGACGCGGGTTTGGCCGAGAGGGGTCCCCTGGGGGTAGTTACCGGAGAAAAGAACGTGGCTTTGGGTTAACTGCTGGGTTGGGTGTGTTGAAGGATCAGAGTGCATAAATGTCAAGAACAGTTTTTTTCCCTGCTTGTCTTGTACTGGCTCCCAGCCACTGTCTTCCCTTCACTCTGGCTCTAGCCGAGTTGTATTCAGATAAAGCTGTCCTGTTTGAGCAAATTAAAGTTGCCTGTCTGGGTGCCTCACTCGCCAGGTGGGCCTGCACGTTAATTTCACGGAAGGAGATGAAAAGACACTTCCTTAGCGTTTTCTGGAAGGTTCTTTGTGTAGGCCAGGTTCAGAAGGAAATGCTCAGTTTTCTGGTGAATGCCCAGAGAATTTGCTCTCAACTCAGGATGTGGTCAACAATCAAAAACAAGAACAAAAACGTTAAAAAAAAAAAAAAAAATGGCCAGTGTTGTTTCTTTTCCCAAAGATTTGGAATTGTACGGATACACAGCACATTTTCAGGTGGGCCTAAACAGAAAAATTTTAATTGGTTAAAAAAAAAATTCAAGTTAATTCAGCATTTTTATTGTTACCAGCAGTGACCAACTGTTATCAATGCTTGTTAATTTAATTGTTCAGGACATTTTGGAAGAAAGTCCCATTGCCTCTTGATGATAGATTTCACATTGAGTGGTGTTCAATAAAGGGAAGGGTGTAGTCACCCAGGATCAGTTGTCCCTGACTTCTTTGTGAGTGGGAAAAGTCCTGATCAGCAAAGGGAACCTAAATAAGGTTTCTTTCTTTTCTTTTTTCTTTTCTTTTCTTTTCTTTTCTTTTCTTTTCTTTTCTTTTCTTTTCTTTTCTTTTCTTTTCTTTTCCTTTCTTTTCTTTTCTTCCCTCTAAATAAGGTTTCTAAAGTAACTTCCTGGCAGTGAAGTAATGTTAGATACTCTGTTACTGTTGCACTTTCATCTACAGCATTGGCTGTTGACACATGCTTTATTTAGTAAGATCAGATGCCAAAGGAAGATACTTTTTAAAACTTTAAAGAAATGCAGTAAAGTACAGGAAAGTCCTTGAAAACTTTTATCTCTGGGCTCTAAACCTGTGTGTTCATCTACCTGCTTGATATTTTCTCTTGGATGTCTCAGAGACATCACAAATTAAACATTAAAAAGCGAACCCTTCATTCCCTCTCCTCCTTTGAAAACTGTTGCACCTCTGGTCTTCTCCATCTCAGTAAATGGCATATATGACTAACCAGATGTTCATTATAGAAACCTGGCACCATTCTGATGTGTTCTTTATGTCACCCCCCACTTCTGGTTCACCCCAAGTGTAGATGTTGAGTACATCCATCTCTCTGTCTCTCCCCTCCCTTCTGTCACTCCTTCCCCCTTTTCTGGTGACACCACTAGAGTACAAGCCACTAGCTTATTTTATTGAGACTACTTTCTTTTCTTTTTTTAAAGTTTATTTATTTTGATGATAGATTTGATGATAGATTTCACATTGAGTGGTGTTCAATAAAGGGAAGGGTGTAGTCACCCAGGATCAGTTGTCCCTGACTTCTTTGTGAGTGGGAATTTTTTCCTATTTGAGAGAGGGAGCCCAAGCCAGGGGAGGAACAAAGAGAGAGAGAGAGAGAGAGAGAGAGAGAGAGAATGAATCCCACGCAGGTTCTGCACTGTCAGTGCAGAGCCCCATGTGGGACTTGAACTCACACACCTTGGGATCATGACCTGAGCTGAAATCAAGAGCTGGAACCTTAACTGACTGAGCCACCCAGCCACCCCTGTTGAGACTACTAACTGGTTCCTTGGCCTTTACTCATGCTCCTTTCTTGTTCCACACAGCTTTTAAAAATGTGAACTGGATCCTAAGACCTAGCTCAAAACCCAGTGGCTTCTTATCGTACTTAGGATAGGATCCCAAATCTTTAACATGTCTACAGTCCACATGGTGGTCTGGTCCCATGTGGCCCTTTTCAGGTTCACTAGCCTTTATAACCAGCACTCTCTACTGTCTGAGAGCCTACAAATATGCTTGCTGTTTCCTCTCTGGAAAACTCTCCTTCTCCCTCTTTTCTTAGCTAGTTTGAATTTGTCCTTGAAATCTCAGCTAAAATATCCTCAGAGAGCCCCAATATAAATCGGTCTGCCCTGTTATTCTCTTTTTCATATGTGTGGGTTTTTCCTACATAGCCCTAATCATGGGGAAAAATTCCTCCCATCCCAGTTCCATAAGCTCTTTGAGGAAGAGGATGCATGCTATCTTACATTGCCAGTGTCCAGCAAAATCCTTGGCATATAATAAGCCCTCAATAAATATTTGTCAAATGAACGATTGAAAATATTTTAACACAGTCTAGGGGAGCCAGGGTGGTTCAGTGGGTTAAGTGTCCGACTTCAGCTCAGGTCATGATCTTACAGTTGGTGAGTTCAAGCCCCACATCGGGTTCTGTGCTGATAGCTCAGAGCCTGGAGCCTGTTTTGGAGTCTGTTTGTCTGTCTGTCTCTCTCTGCCCCTCCCCTACTTGTGCTTTCTCTCTCTCTCAAAAATAAATAAACATTAAAAAAAAAGAAGATATTTTAACTCAGTCTTTACAACAATGCTATGAGCGAGGTATTATCTCAATTTACACACAAACAAAACAAAACTGGGATTAAATAACCTGTCCAAGGTCATACAGTAAGTATGTGGCAGAGGAGGAACTCAAAGTCAGGTTTTCTTTTTCTTTACTGTAAGTGTAATATATATCATTATCTTACTGTAAGTGTAATATATATTATCTGACAGTAAGCATTATATATTATTGATATAGCAACAGTTAGAGATATGTCCATCTGTATTCTCACATTTATGCTGTCTACATTACATGTTCCATTTAGGTTTCCTGGCATCACATCCCCCTTTGAGACACAGCCATATTCTCTTTGACCCCCTCCCCTCATCGACTCAACCTTGCAAAGCCTTTGATATGAGGTCTCCCTGCCAATTCCTTCAGCAGCCTGTAGACCTTGCTGTCAGCTCAGAACCAGTTGGAAATTTTAGATTTCCTCCTGGACTTTTAGAGACCACTTGGGGACTTTTGTAGTCCTCCCGTGCCCAAACCTGACACCTTCAATGCACTCTCTACCATCTTGGGGTACAGGTAACATCCACAAAGCTACTGCCATCAGAAATTCAAAATGGAAGCATCACACAAATTCCCTTTATTTCTGCTCTCCCAACTTCAAAAGGAATCCATCATTTTGCCCCTGCGCTGGAATTCTGCCTGAGGAAGTAGAAGTGGGCACTCTTTACCGCTTTGGTGTTAAACTTTACTCTTCTCGGGGCGCCTGGGTGGCGCAGTCGGTTAAGCGTCCGACTTCAGTCAGGTCACGATCTCGCGGTCCGGGAGTTCGAGCCCCGCGTCAGGCTCTGGGCTGATGGCTCAGAGCCTGGAGCCTGTTTCCGATTCTGTGTCTCCCTCTCTCTCTGCCCCTCCCCCGTTCATGCTCTGTCTCTCTCTGTCCCAAAAATAAATAAACGTTGAAAAAAAAAAAAACTTTACTCTTCTCCTTCAAATTGCTTCACTTCTCAATGGCTGGAAGCATCCTGTAGCTGGCTCCTACATGCACACACACACACAAAACAAGAAACACGTGAACAAACAAACAAAAAAACCTGTTCTTAGAATGAGCGTGAACCTTTGATTCTGTCTTCTCTTGTGCCTCTGTGAGTGATTGTCTCTGCTGTGTTGGTACCCCTTCTGTGGGGAAGGCAGATTTAGGCACCTTTAAATGTGTGTTTGGGAGGGGAGCAGGATGGACGATGAGGGCCTGGGGACAGTGCATCAGTTATTACCTTGAAGTTATATCCCTCTGTGTGGGGTTCAAGGGGTGAGACCAGGGTTTGCCAAGGATTATCTAGGAGGTTCTCAACTTGGCTCTCCAGGAGAATCTCTAGATGAAGGTTTTTAAAAATCCTGGTGCCCTGACCTCATCACCATAGATTTCAGTTTAATTATTCTAGACAGGGATCCAGGCACCCGTCATTTTAAAAGCCTCCTAGGTGATGTTAATATGCAGCCGGAGTTGAGAACCGCTGATACAGAAGTAGAATCCCATGTACCACATTGTAGCATTACTACTTTTCTTATGTGATCTGTATATTCAGGAGCCAGAGGAGTTTGGGGGAATTAGGATCACTTACCTGGATTCATCTGGCAGGGATCCTTTCCTGGAAAACACCCATTAGAGAGACGTCTCTGTCTAAGAGAAATATGCTCAGTTTTCAGGCATGCTTGCCTACTCTCTTAAAATTCACATTCCTTTTGTGTCCTATGACCTTTAAAATAAAGTACAAAATACAGTCTGCAGAATGACTCCCAGCGTGCTTTGAGCGTCATTTGGAGTCACTTCCCTCCTTGCCTTGTGAGTAATCATTATGCATGCAGTTCTCCTAGGGTTTCTTCTGTCCACATTGATTGCCCAGCCAGCCCTCCACTTTCTCCCTTTGTGCTTTAACTCCCGCCCTGGTTTCCTCTTCCTTCAGTGCCTTTAATGCCCTCCCTTCATTTTCAAATCCAACCCTTCCTTCCAAACCATGCTCCAATGCTGGTCTTGCAGGAAGGAATCCCAGAGTCACTGTGCAGCCAAAGTCACTCTCTCCCTTCTCCCCCAGCACTGTCTTTTATTATTATTCCTAAAATGCTCCACACTTTCTCTGTTGCATTTCATTGTGTATGAATGTTTCCTGCCTTTCCAGATTTTGAAGTCCTTGATTGTGGGATTTGTGTTGTGTATTATTTTATCCCACACAGTACTCAGCACATGGCCTTGTATGTAGCAGGCATTCAACATATATTTGTTAAATACTTGCAAGAGAGAATCCTGGGGATTGCTATGTTTATCACAGACTATTGGTGTGAACTCTTTAAGTCATTCCTGGCTAAATTAATATTAGATTAACTTTTGGTACGACAATTTGACAAAGATGCCGGCCGCTGTTATTGAAGGTTACTGTTAGGGATACTTGCCTCCCCACAGTCCTGGCCACTCAGCATCTGTGTCTCCTTCCTTTGCTTCCTCTATGTTAGTAATTCTCTACTTTGTAAGCTTGGTGGGCAGCCAGACCTGTCCCTTCCTGCAGAAGCTGTGAAATCCAGATTTTTGCTTTTTCCGCCTCCCTGACAGGCGGGCAGGGTGGATACCTGACCTCAGCTGAAAGAAGTATTGCCAAATTGCAGGGGCAGCAGAGACCTCACATTGGCAGTGGCTGCAGCAGTGGCCAGCGTCTGATCCCTAGGCAGAAGGGTGGCTTCCTCCAGTGTGGGTCCAGTGTGGGTGGGACTGGTCACCTGGCCAGTTTCTCTGATATGGTTCTGGTGTCCATCTTTGCCTGTTTTATATATTTATTTAAACATTTTTTTAAACATTGTTTCGTTTTTGAGAGAGAGACAGTGTGAGTGGGGAAGCGGCAGAGAGGAGACAGAATCTGAAGCAGGCTCCAGACTTCGAACTGTCAGCACAGAGCCTGATGCAGGGCTTGAACCCACTGACCACGAGATCATGACCTGAGATGAAGTCAGATGCTCAACTGACTGAGCCACCCAGGCGCCCCAATCTTTGCTGTTTTATGGGGCTGGTTTCCCAAATATCCTGATAACTCTGTGACACATTTGATGAACTACTTAGTGAGCTTGTTCTTCAACCAAGAACCCTGAATGATAGAGTTCATGTAAATTTGTAAAGCTAAATGATACTTTTTAAATAGATATTAAGATTGGTGCTAACCATAAACTTCTTTCTTCTATGAATCAGTAACATAGGGAAGGTAATTTTACTTTCGGGGGGAAAAGACCTAAACCTTTTGAAAGTTTGTATCTGTATCTGTTAATCCTGGGTAGATACAATGTGAAATTACGCAATCTTGATAATATTTTAGTGACTCAATTTTTTTTTCCTTGGGGTGGGGGGCCTTTTATACATTTGTTTCACTAGGTAGTGTGAGCAAGAAGATGATATCTCTGTCCGTCAAGTGGCCACTTGGAACCATGCTGCTTCTACTGTCCTCACTGTTGATTCTCTTAACTGTGTCAACTCCTTCCTGGTGTCAGAGCAGTGACACCTCGTCTCCAAAAGCTAGTAATGGGTCACCATTCCCTTGGGATAAAATTCGACTTCCTGAGCACATCAGCCCGGTTCATTATGATCTCATGATCCATGCAAATCTCACCACTCTGACTTTCGAGGGAACCACTCAAATAGAAATCACAGCCAGCCGGCCTACCACTACCATCATCCTGCATAGTCACCACCTGCAAATATCTAAGGCCACCCTCAGGAAGAGAGTTGGAGAGAGACTGACTGCAGAACCATTGAGAGTCCTGGAATACCCGCTTCATGAGCAAATCGCACTTCTGGCTCCCGAGCCTCTGGTTGTTGGGCTCCTGTACACAGTTGTCATTGACTATGCTGGCACCCTTTCTGAGCATTTAAATGGATTTTATAAAAGCACCTACAGAACCAAAGAAGGGGAAGTAAGGTACTTTTTTTCTATTTTTTTAAAAACTTCAAGTGCTGTCCCCATACTAAATTTATGATTTCATATGGATTATCTCTTAAAACTCCCTTGATCATTGAATGCTTTTCCTTGTTTTGATTTTGCGTTTCATTTATACAGCTAAACATGGCCAGTAGATTCTTTTTGTGTTTTTGGATGTCACGTTTCATTCTGTTTTAACCAGTTTTCTTTCCTTCAGCTCTGTCAAAGTACCTGTTTGTTTATTTAGTTAGATTTCTGGCATATAATAAATGTTTTTAATTCTCTCGGTCTATGTATTAGTTTTCTTCAGCTGCTGTAACAATGTATCATAAACTGAGTGCCTTAACACAACAAAAATTTATTCTCTCACAGTTCTGGAGGCCAGAAATTCAAAATCCAGGGCTACACTCTCTACATCTCTGAGAAGAATCCTTCCCTCCATCTCTCTAGTCTGTGGTGGCCCTCCTTTGTTGGCATTTCTTGGCTTGCAGCTACATCAGTCTGGACTTGGCCTCTGCTGTCACATAGCCATTCCCCCAGCTTCCCTCTTCTTGTAAGGACACTGGTCTTATTAGGGCCCAACCTGATGGCCTCATCTTAATTTGATTACATCTGCAAAGACCCTATTTCCAAATGAAATCACATTCACAGATACTAGGGATTAAGACTTCAACATATTTTTGGAGGATGTAATTCATCCCATACAGCCTATAAGAAAAGTTTTTTTCTCAGTTAAAACTCTTTTTAGAGATTCTCACCTGCCTTTCTATTGTTCTGTTTTTAAGAAGGTATAATCTATTTTGGGAGATTTTATGCTGAACTTTAAAATCAAATTTTATTTGCTAGTAGATTATAGTCACTTATTCTTCTGATTCCATATTATTCTTTTGAGGTTAAAAAAAGGTCAGATGCTACCAAAAAGAATGTTTTGAAAAGTCAATTTTATCCCTATTATGGTCCCTAGTGATAACCACTACTTTTATTTTGGGGATCATCCTTCTAGACTTCTTTTTGGATATGGTTATACATTATGTAAGTGGAGCTATGTTATATTTTCTGTTGTATAAGGAATTTTATTTTAATATGTTGAGGAGATGTTTCATATGAATGACTATTCCTATACATCATTTTTTTTTATTTTTCTTTTTATTTTTTTTTTTAATTTTTTTTTTCAACGTTTATTTATTTTTGGGACAGAGAGAGACAGAGCATGAACGGGCGAGGGGCAGAGAGAGAGGGAGACACAGAATTGGAAACAGGCTCCAGGCTCTGAGCCATCAGCCCAGAGCCCGATGCAGGGCTCGAACTCACGGACCGTGAGATCGTGACCTGGTTGAAGTCGGATGCTTAACCGACTGTGCCACCCAGGCGCCCCTCCTATACATCATTTTAATGACTTTATTAAAATGTATGTTTTGCATTGATTTAACTAATCCACCATGATGGATGTTTCCACCTTTTCAGCAATAGCAGTATCTTTGAAAATCATTTCCTTGGAATAAATGCCTATAAACAAAATTGCTAAGTTAAAGGGTCTACAGTCTTTTGATATCCCTTGCCACAATCCTCATCCCTAACCAATAATGTATCTGGGCAATCCTTTTAGAACCAAAAAGCCAACAGGTATGTCTCTTTAATTTACATTTCATTGGTTATTGAGGAAGCTGGGCAGTTTTTGATATGTTTATTGACTATTTATAGGCCCTTTCTCAGTGAATTGCCTGTTTATGACCTGCCTGCTATTCCACATGGTTGTTGCGTATACTCTTACTCATTTTTAAGTGTTCATTTTTCTGTCAAGGCTATTAACCCTTTGTCAGATAACTTGCAATTAATTTTCCCAGATTTTTACTTGTCTTTTTACTTAGTTCATGATAACTTTTGTTGAAACATTTGTTTTAGTAGTGAAATCAATAATTGTGTGGTATCTTTAGGAATTAAAAACCAAACATACATCTATTTTGGAGTCCCTGGTGCTTTATATTATATTTTTATTTCACTTGCCATAATTTTAGAGTACTTGCATCAACACATTTTGAACCTACTGCAGCCAGAATGGCCTTTCCCTGCTTTGATGAACCTTCCTTCAAAGCAAATTTTTCAGTCAAGATCAGAAGGGAGCCAAGGCACCTGTCCATCTCCAATATGCCACTGGTGAGTCTGAACTCCTGTATATCTACTCACAGGAAACGTCTATTGATAGGCTATGCCTTGCATTTCCCCAGTGACAGTTATTAACATTCACGTCACCTGTGTTATTTGGTTTATTGCATGACTTTTCTTATTTCATTCCCAAGCTATACTTTTGTTTCAAGTAACAATTTATTTGTAGCCAAAGAAGAAACTGTCCCTAAAACTAGGAAGATTTCAACACAAGTCTCATTCCAGGTCATTGATATTGACAGGAGGGAAACTGTGTAAGGAATCAGGGCAGGTTTAAACGAGAGTGCCCTTCCCAAAGTGCTTTTGCCTTCATTTTGTCTTATGACCTTTTGAAAGGATTTTAAAGGGAACACTTTGTCAAATAAGGCCATATTTCTAGTATACAGTTATTTTCTATAATTTCTATATATGATAAACTAATACTAGCTATATAATTTGTAACTATATGCGTAAAATTGGGCTGACAGAAAAAAAAAAAGTAATCTTTTTGGAATATCATGGTATAAAAGGTAAGTAGTGATAGATAGCTCAGTTCCCTTTAAGGAAACCATTATCCTTCAATACCAAAGCAAATATGGACAGTGTTCCATCTGATTTTCAAAAGTGGTGAGAAAATGGCCGTGCCAAATGAATAAAGGTACTCAGTAAGTGCCCCTAACTCTAAGCTGATTCTGGCAGCTCAGAAAAACTCATCTGCAGGGCTATCATTCTGCAACTGGTGCACATCAGCTCCTAAAGCACACGCAGGCTTTGTTCAGAGAGCTCACTGTGGATGACACTCAGGTGGAACTGACTTGGCCCAGAGTCTTCAAGGGTATACCAGCTCCTTCCTGTGCTGACCAAGGAGGCAAAATATTAGCATATAGGGACTCTGAGAGCCACAGCCAGCATCTAGGACAGTACCTTGCAACTCTAAAAACTCTGTAGAGCCCCTCCCTCACTGAATACCATAAAAATCCCTTCCTCAAACAAGATTCTGACAGCCCGCCTCAGAGGGTTGTGCTCTGTTCTGTGAAGAGCACTCTTCTGCAAATTTCTGCCAGCTAAGAACTTCTGTCTACTCCACCCACATTTGTATATGAAAACACAGGAAACAATTGTGGTGTTTTTCTGATATAAATTTGAGATAGAGAACATGGTGGTTCCAATTAACATTCCATCCCTGGGATGGGAATGTGTTCTCTAATTACAGAATCACAGCTTTAAGAGAATAAAGCACAGAGATAAGATGGAATCAAGGAGAATACTGATGACCAAAAAAGATTGGTGGAGAAACTTGTAGGTTTTCAGGAGGTAGGCTAGGAGCTCCAAAGGCTTCACAAGGATGGTGGAGCTAAATCCATAGGTATCTAAGACCTCTAGGAGAGGAAAATCTCTAATGTAATCTTGCCTCTTGGACAGGAAAGCCCTCCCATTGGCAGAAATCTTACAGGATCAGCCTGAACTCAGGCTGCGGACCTGGAGTTTGGGGGAAGGACAGTGGGGTCTCAAAGGATCATTTCAGTGGCTGGAAAAGCAAATAGACCATTGGAATATTGAATTGTTTGGGCAGTGGGCAAGATTTAATCACATTTAAAGGTTAATTAATTAACCTTAATTAATTAATTATTAAAATTTCCTCTGCAATTTCCTAGTAAATAGCACAACTTCAGGAATGAGAATTTTGACTAGGGCAGAAGGCATTTAAAAAGAAGAGGTAATTTGGAGTTTTTTCCAGAGTAAACCTGTGTCGACTGTCAGAGTCAGGACTTAAGTGAGCAAAGAGTGGCCATCACACACACATAACTGGTGGTTGGTTGGTATTAAAAAGAAGCACAAGGGCACTGAAATAGAGGTAGAAATAAGATATCAGGAAAAATGCATGTGTTAACATGGAATTTCCCAGGCTGGTTCTCCTCTTGTTCTTGTTCTCCAAACTCACACCCCAGTGCTGTGTGTTGCCTGAGGTATTACACTTCCCTTTTTGGAAGCAGACCTCTTAGACTATACCGCCATCACCCCCACCCCACTGCAAGGCTTCTCCCTGATTGCACTTAAAGCTGATTCCAATGAAGCAAATCAGAGTTTGGAGGAAGCTTTGCCATGTCAGGCCCAAGCATGGGTTACTTTCAGTTTTTTAGGAAAATAGAGGCTCTATTTAAGCTGTACATGGTTACATGTTTTCCCACAGGAAAAAAAAATTAGACATTGTATTTCTAGATAATTCTCAAACCTGTATTTATGGTCAGGTGGACTACCTCTTAGTGAAACCACCAATCTCAGGTTTGCTTTGTCCCATTCATATTATTAATCCTCATGTACCAGATATGAGTTAGTTTGCAACCATCTGGGGTATTGAAAAGAAATTTAGTGATGATAGTTGCACAACTGTAAATATAATAAAAAAACACTGAACTATATACTTCAAAATGGTCAATTTTATGATATGTGAATTATATCCCATTTAAAAAAATTGAGTAGAATGGTCTTTATATCTAAATTATAGTCAGGTATTAGAAAGACAAATTTTAAAATAATTATATAAATATTGTGCTATGTACTTTCAATATTATATCTGGTGGTAAGGAGATTTCTGTTTATAAACTGTTTTCAATGCATTGGATAATTGGATTATATGCTGATTTTATTCTGATTTTAGGTTAAATCTGTGACTATTGCTGAAGGACTCATAGAAGACCATTTTGATGTCACTGTGAAGATGAGCACCTACCTGGTGGCTTTCATTATTTCAGATTTTAAGTCTGTTAGCAAGATGACCAAGAGTGGAATCAAGGTGAACCTGTGATTGTCACATAGGGTGGCCAGCTTGTCCTGATCTGACACTGTCCTGGTTTTAAAACTAGAAGCCCCACATTTTGGGCACATTCCTGAGTCTTGGCCCAACCAGGAAGGTTGGCATCCTATTGTTACAGATGCTCGTATTTATAATGAAGTTCTAACACAAAAACATGCAGAGAGGCTTGGCCTGGCCTAGATCATAGTCCTGGCTCCACCTTTAGCAGGCATTCTGACCTTGACTCTGCTCCCTTTGGAACTTAGTTTATATTTCTTTAAAATGTGTAAGTTGGACCAGATCCTGCAGTGTTTTCTGAGGTTGCCTCTGGCTGTCACTTACTGCAGTTTAGAAGTAAATGTCACTGACTACCTGAGCAGAGGATTTCTGGCCTTGAGTAGGAAGTAAAATAGAGCAGTCTGCTTGGAGTATTAAATGACTCTGGGGAGAGCATTTATGCCAGCTAATACTGGAATACTGGAGAAAAGATCTTGTTTCAAGGAGTACTTGCCCCTTTTCTGGGTACCATTGCATAAGGAGCAACCTATTCAACTATATGTTGTTGGGCTCTGAATGCAAATAGGTTTTTTTTTTTTTTTTGGAGAAGAGGAGCTTTAATTTGAAGATGCCTAATTTATTTATGCTGGTTTTCTCTGAGGCCTGAGTAGATAGGACTTCTGGGTTGGTGAAAGTGTGAAGATTTCAGCGAGAGTGGCTTGCCTGGAGATGGTATGGAAACTTTGTGCCTTTTCCCGTACCTTGCCCTGCACATCTCTTTCTCAGTTACATCCTTTTATAATAAGTAAAATATTCCTCTGAGTTTTGTGAGCTGCCCTAGCAGATTAATGGAACCTAAGGGGGAGGTCTTTGCAACCTCTAGTCTGTAGCCTGTGGGTCAGAAGCACAGATGGTAACCTGGACTTGTGAATATCATCTGAAGTGGGGGTGGGGACAGTTTTGTAAGACTGAACCTTTATGTTGTGGAATCTGGTGTATCTCTGGGTAGTGTCAGAATCGAGTTGGAACTGTGGGACACTCAGGTGGTGTTGGAGAACTGCTTGGAGGTGTGGGCATAACACCCCCCAACACACACACACACACACACACACACACACACACACACACACACATTGGAATTAGGTCCAAGAATTCTTTTTACCTATTAGTATTTTTAGGCCTTTTATTTCTTTAAACACATTAAACGTTTTATATTCTAGTTAACTGTCCTATCTGAAGTCTTTATGTGTCTCATTCTGTGATTTGTTGTTTCTGCTAGTTATTGTTTTGTTCCTGTGTGTGTATTGAACTTACACTATCTGAGTTGACAGTGGGTTTCCACAGAGAATTTGTTTGCTCCTGGCAGATGCCTGGGAGCCCTTACCAGCCCATGAACCGCTTTAAATCAAATTATTAGCTTCAGGTTTTTGAGCCACCTGGTTATTGTGAGTCCAGTTGCTAACCAGCATGAAGATTAACTTGCTGATTCACTCAGGACTTCCCACAACCTTCCCCATATGGTACCAAGACTTGAAAAAGGCATTTTTCCCCCTTGCAGTCTCCTTGAGGAAGGGGATGGCTATTTTTAGTTTATCTTTACAGAAAGGGTATGGTCCTATAGGGTTCAACTTTATGCATGGTGCATATTCTGTTGGGGTTTCCCCCCTTGGACGGGCTCTGGACTTTGTCTTCTATCCCCTGAGACCTTCAATGCTGTGAAAACCAAAGCTCAAGTCCATTTGTGTTAGGTTAGTGTCCTCAGGACAAAAGCTGGCTGCAGGGCTCTTCTGTCTAGGAGGGTTCTACTGTTACTCATTTTTGGCATTTAAGTTTTCTTTACTTTTCCATTATTCCATAAGAACATTTTTAAAAAGACCTTTTTGTTTACGTTATCCAGCATGTTGTAGTTTTCAGAAGGGGACTTGGTCAGAAATAGGTGGCATTAATACAAGAAATCGAACTTCCAATTTTCTTCCTAAGTGGCAACCATATTCCACAAAATGAAACTGTTGATGTCCATCTTCCATACAATTGTGGAGATGTCATAGACTCTGGATCTGGAGTTCTCTCTTGTCCATCAAGAGAGCGGACACAGGATTAAAATGAGACAGAGGCTAATATCCGGGAGGAGACCAGAACCCTGAGTAAGGGTCCTTGCTTCGTTTTTATTAGGATCAGAAGGCTTACAAGTGTGATGGCTGTGCACAAAGACACAGTGAAACTGTGAATATTAACTCATGTGTTGGTGAGAAAAGGTGATCTTGAAGATATGCAGTGTTAGGGGTTTGGGTCAATACAAAGCAAAGTCCTGGCATTGGGCAGATGGTTGTTTATGGCAGGCATGAGGCCCAAGTTATGTTAATATGTTGATTTACATAAATTTCACCATGGCTAACAGTATGAGCGAAGAAAGGCCTAGCTTCCAAAGATTAACAAGCCAGGGTCCTTTTAATTTCCCTTTATGTGCAGAAATTATAGGGCCAGACAAGCCTCTGTCCTTCCAAAAAATGTTCTGTCTACTAGATTGGTCAAAGGATATGGTCTTATTTGAATATTTTGTTTCAAGATGTCCTCTAGGACCCCTGTCAATAATGGTCCAATTGCCCCAGTGAAGATTATGCTCAGTCTCTCCATAACAGGTTGTCCAAGGAATATTATTCCAGGGGTGGTCTGAATACTTGAGACTAGAGCAAGCTAGAACATTAGGAGTGTGAGATATGTTTGTTTTTTGAGGTATATCAAAGTTTGTGGCTGAGAAAAAGGTAAAATTGGCCTTTTAGAGATTTTGGTCTGTACATGTAAAAGCCAGTTGATTCTTACTTTGAGACAAGCAGATTGCTAAGTTTGGTAACACACATAGGAGGTGCTGGGATAAGCCACCATTGAGGTCTTGGCATATAAAGCCAATGCTCTTGTTCAGTTTGGAAGGGCAGGTTAAGATTGGCTCCTCCCATGAATTCAGTGTCATTATTGCTACCAGGAATATCCAGGTCTAGGAGTGTTAAGCTGTCAAATATAGGTGGGTTAAGGAGATGAGCCCAATATGAATATTGAGCTTGGCCCGGACAAATGAGGACAAGGAGAAGAATCAGGGTTACCTGTATCGAATTCCTGTCAATGATGGAGATCATGGCCATCAGATGCGAGTCAGGGGTATATGCAATACCATTGTGTTGTAAGAGGATGCCGACCTGGTTAGACAGGAGATTAAGGCTTCCCCATGTTATGTTGCGTTTGTGGAGTGGCTTCAGGATGAGGAGTCAATGAAGAAGCTTCTTCCATCTTGAAAAAGGGGGGCTGGTGGCTGCTCATTAATTGTCATTCTCTGGAAGTACTGGTTCATTGGAAGATATCCAGGGGTCTCCATGGTATGGCTTCACCAACCAACAGAGAGGGGATCCATAGAGGTCCAGAATCTGAAAGAACACAAACATATCCTCCTCAACCCCAGGTGAGAAGTTTAGTGGGCCCAGTCCATGTGGGCCCCCTTTCAGGGGTTTGGTATAGCACCATAGGATGAGAGGGTTTATCTGATTTTGAAGAATGTCACTCAGCTGCTGTTAGTCTTTGAGGATTAAGATTTAAAAAGTTAAGAGTAATCATAGCAAGATCAAGAAGGAGCTGAGGTTGTAATGTAGATAGCCATGGGTATCTCTCCCTTTTTTGTTTTTTTTTTTTTTTTGTTGTTGTTTTTTTAATTTTTTTTTTCAACGTTTATTTATTTTTGGGACAGAGAGAGACAGAGCATGAACGGGGGAGGGGCAGAGAGAGAGGGAGACACAGAATCGGAAACAGGCTCCAGGCTCTGAGCCATCAGCCCAGAGCCTGACGCGGGGCTCGAACTCCCGGACCGCGAGATCGTGACCTGACTGAAGTCGGACGCTTAACCGACTGCGCCACCCAGGCGCCCTGCTTTTTTGTTTTTTAAACACGTTTTTGAGCATACTATGTGCTCCTTTTACAATTTCTTGGCCTTGTGGATTATAAGGAATGGGTAATTCCAACCAAGGCTTAAGTAAAACAACTTAAAAAGGGCATGCTGTCCTGTCATTTTACCCTTTTTGTTAAAATTTTATTTATTACCTTTAACAAAAATGTATGCTCATTTTTTATATCTTTCTTACATATCTCTTACTTTTTTTATATATGGAGTTACTTTCCTTATTTCCATTAGCCTTAATTATATTTAGCAGAATTTTAACTCTTAGAAACCTTAGTCTCCATTGAAAACAAAGTAGTAACCAATTGTAAACCATCTGTTACATCAGAAATTTTTTAGGTGGCAGACTTATGGATCCATTAAGCATAAAGCATGCTTTTTAATAGATTTAAATGTCCTCAGTATTTTTGTCACAGAAGCCAGAAGCACAAACCTACGGTTAGTAAGCAATGCTTTACCATTCCATTTGATTTGGAAGAGGCCTAAATGTTCAATAGATTTAATTTATCATTTAAGCAAAATGTTAAAGTTTCAGGTTACCAAAGACCCTGAAAGCTATTTTAACAATTACCCATGAAAACTATGAGACAAAGTTAACCATTACTTTAAGTCATCCTTTGGCTGACAAATTGGAAAAGAGATAAAATGAACTTATTTGACTTTCAGTGAACCTTAGTAGAATAAAGTTTTATTATTTAATTTTGATAATTTAAAAGACATGTCTATCTTAATTACATTTTATCTGTGTCCTCTTAAAAGTTTACCATTGTCAATTTTTTCCTGTGGAACCAGTGAGGAATTCTGAAGTGGGTGGCCCTAGTCTAAGGGGGTATTTTTTGCTCTTAGGAGGAAGAGTTGATGCTGCCTGAGGCATTGAAGAGCCAGATATGCAGGTTGTATCCCAGTTGGTGCAGGACCCTGAGGAGTGGGAAGGGAAGGCCTAAAGGGTGAGGTGCCCACAGTTGGCCTGAAGGCAGATAAAGGCATAGAGGGCAGAGAAAGAGTTCTCATGGTCCTAAAGCCTGTTAGCTCAGATAGATGAGCAGGTACAGATTTTTGTTTTGTTTTGTTTTTCACTTGTGGAATTAGGCAGTCTTATGTCAGGCCAGAGAAGACAGAGAAGTTCCCCAAGACAAAAGGAGTTTTGGCAGCTGCTTGGGAATATTCCTTAAAACCTCCATCCTGAGGTAGACTAACCAGAGACAGTTGGCTCTAATTATCGTAGTCATTGACCAAGGAAATGAATGAGGGAGAAACCCCCACGTGTAGTTAGAGTAGCCAGAGTATATTGGGAGTAACAGTGAGAGAGAGAGAGTCCCCTTTAAAAGAGACGGCCTGTGTAAAATAAGTCATACTATTTTAGTGTATTGTTTTGCTGACAATGATTGGAAGCTGAGCTTGTTGCCTTAGTTGGGAACATTGTCCTGTACTGGACAGTTGTTCAAAAGACGCTGGAATAGCAGCGTCAAAGTTTTGCATAGCACGAGTTACACAAGCGTCATGAAACTCTTGGGCATAGACAGCATACTGGGCTGGAGTCAAAATGATTTTTATAAGAGAGCCCCAGTCCTAGGCACACATGGAATAGTGCCACAAATAGTTTCTAAAATGCAGATCGTAAAAGGGCTGTGGAGCCATACAGCTGAACTGATTTCTGCAATTCCTTTACTATTTGAAAGAGCAGGCCTTCACGGACGTATTGCCCGTTTTGCCCGACAACGGGAAACACCTGGAATTCACCGGCCTTCTGGGCTTCTTAATGCACTTTTGCATTGGGGTGAGGACTTTATCAGAACCAGTCGGTGAGGTTTCTTGAGGCTCGATATCGTCCCACCCTTTGGAGAGAGGGTGTGTATCTTCTGGCTGTAAAGGCAGTGAAGGCACAGGCTGACTATAAAAAAGCCTAGGGTTTTCCTCTTTTTTGGGTAATTCTGTATCTTTATATGCATCATCTGAACTCAATGGGAGAAGGGCAGTATGGACAATGGACCAAGTAAGGATTACCTCAGGGGAGGACATTAGCCACCTCGGAATGCTGAGATTTTAATGTTTTCCCTACTCGCTCCCAAATATCAAGATCATAAGTTCCTTGTGATCTGATATCTGAGGCAGTGTTGCTGGGTAATTATAATTCAGGGAGTGCTTTCTGAGTGAAGATAGTGCCAGCCACCTTTCCCAATGATTGTAAAATATGAATGTACTCTTTCTGCTCTGGGGATAGGGAGTCTCCCATGATAAATCTCTCCAAAGTTCCGCGGCAGCAAATCCTAATACAGTTTCGCTTTTCTCTTAGTTCATCAGGAAGAGATTGTAATCTGGTGTGTTTTTCTTGGAGCTCTTTAGTCGGTCCATGGCATCCCGCAGTCCTTGAGTTGCACCACCTTCTGGCCATGTCAGGCCTGGGTCACCATCTGTTGTAGACTTAGGGTCTGGAGTTCTCTCTTCTCCAGCAAGAAATCGGGACGCAGGATTAAAATGTGAGAGAGGCTAACGTTTCGGAGGAGACAAGAGCCCCGAGTAAGGGTCCTTGCTGTGTTTTTATTAGAATCAGAAGGCTTAAAAGCGTGATGGATGTGCACAAAGAGACAGTGAAACCATGAACATTAACTCACAGTTGTGAGGAAAAGGGGGTTTTGCAGATATGCAGTGTTAGGGGTTTTGGTCAACACAAAGCAAAGTCCTGGTGCTGGGCAGCTGGTTGTTTATGGCAGGCATGAGGGGCGTTGTCTGTTTATCCTAGCTTGCATAGGGGACAAGAGAGTGAGAGCATGCTACCTCAGGGACATCAAGGTACCTTTCTTTGCTAATAAGCTCCCCTCTGGGCAACTTTGGCCTGTTGCGGTTGGGCAGCAGCCCTATATACCTGTTACCTAGGGCTGGGCAACAGCCCTATTTACCTGTTCACCTATTCTGGACCTTCCCTCCCATGAAAGCAGCTTTCTGATTCTGTACTAAATTGGGGCGCTTCGGCCCTGAATATCTAATCTTGGTTACCAAATCTTGGGTGCTTTCATCCTGTGGCTTCCTATTTCTTTATGCCTTGTTAACCCATGGGTGCAAGCTCAGAGAATTCCTAAGTTTATTCCCCACGTGGAGAGAAGCCACTATGGCATTTGAGTAACTGTGCTTTCTCTTCAGGTTTCCATATATGCTGTGCCAGACAAGATACATCAGGCAGATTATGCACTGGATGCTGCAGTGACTCTTCTAGAGTTTTATGAAGATTATTTCAGCATTCCATATCCCTTACCCAAACAAGGTAGAAATTTTGCAAGATTATTTCAAGTTGTGGCATTTAATGACCTCAGCTATGTATTATATGCCCGTAATTGGCATTCCCATGGTATCTCAGCAGCCCTTCAAGTCTAGACCTCTGGCAGGAGAAGGTTGCTCCTTCTCACCCCTAATCTATACAGTAAATTTCTAATAATAGCAGGAGCAGATCTTGATAAGATTTCTGAGGCACATGTCATGGTGATAATTTTACCTTCTGACCTTAAAGATAAACTCAGTTGTATTCGTGGGCAGACAGCAAAGGGCAGAAGCTGCATCTTTTTCATTATTTGCACATATTTGGTAGAAATAGAGAGGGTGCTCAATAAATTTTTCTTAATGAACACATTTACACAGTGTAAGGAAAATCTGCAGTTTCCTTCTTAATGGGCTTTTAAAACTATTATTTGTTTGAGATTTTAGGTGTATGGGAGTCGAGGGCATCCAAAGTCAAGTGTATAATTGAGGAAATTATTATTAAGAGTATCCAATCCCTGAATTCCTTGTCAGAAAGTTGGAAGAGGAGTCAGAAGGCCCGAGGCCCCAATCTGACTTTGTCATGCGATAGCAGAGCAACCCTGAATCACTGAGCCTCTTTTTCTAGGTTGTGATAAATTCTTTTTTTTTGATCCCTACACCCATCCATTCTGAAAGTTAGTGTGTTTGGGCAATGTCTAGTTTAGGGACTGTTAATACATTTTTGTGTCCTTTCCAAGATCTTGCTGCTATTCCTGACTTTGAGAGTGGCGCTATGGAAAACTGGGGACTGACCACATACAGAGAATCTGTTCTATTGTTTGATTCTGAAAAGTCTTCTGCATCAAATAAGCTTGGCATTACTTTGACTGTGTCCCATGAACTCGCCCACCAGGTACACAAGATAAATGATACTTTTAAAAATTGTGGTGAAACTACATCTATTTTGCTTTTATGGGACTTGAAAGACTATTCATATTGATACATGAAGTGTATCGATTCATCTTTACTTTGTCTTTTTTTCGATAGGAAAAATGATTTCTTTTAAAGCATAAGGTCCCATGTTTTAAAATGAATGTCGAAAGGTTTTTCTTCTTATTTTGATAAAAAATTCTGTAAATGTTACTTATATGCTGACATTGAACATATGAAATCTTTCCTTCTGAATGCCTTATGTCTGTAACTGTGTAGATAATCCAGTCTCCATAGAAATGTATGAATAATCTAGTACTTTCCTTTTAGTGGTTTGGGAATCTCGTGACTATGGAATGGTGGAATGATCTTTGGCTAAATGAGGGATTTGCGAAGTTTATGGAGTTTGTGTCTGTCACTGTGACTCATCCAGAACTGAAAGTCGTAAGAAGTATTTACTTATTTTTAATAAGTTGATACTGCTGTTTTGTTCAGTGTTGCTGGTCTTTGATTATAGAATTCATGGAAATATTAATAACTCCCTGATAGCTTAGATAAGAATCTGGTTTCTAAAATGCTAGTGAACTTGAAAGGTAACACAAATGCTTATTTCCTAACTGGATTGCTTATTTCCAAATATGTGATTGTTAGGAAATTATGTTAAATCTTATCCTCCCTTATTATAAAAAAGCTAGAAGTAATGACAGCCTGTCTGTTGCATATCATTTCCTCAACCATTAGGTTTCTCTCTGAAGGATTATGTACAGATTGCTTTTATTTCAATAGTATCCTGCTTGTCAAATCAAATACGATTCTACTTGTTTTAGGTAACTGCACACTTGTTTACTTATGAGCCTACACTCGGGAGTCCCAGACTTAATGCTTTGGAACCTTTACATGTTTATTTTAAAAATCAGGTGTTGGGGCGCCTGGGTGGCGCAGTCGGTTAAGCGTCCGACTTCAGCCAGGTCACGATCTCGCGGTCCGTGAGTTCGAGCCCAGCGTTGGGCTCTGGGCTGATGGCTCGGAGCCTGGAGCCTGTTTCCGATTCTGTGTCTCCTTCTCTCTCTGCCCCTCCCCCGTTCATGCTCTGTCTCTCTCTGTCCCAAAATAAATAAAAAACATTGAAAATAAATAAATAAATAAAAATCAGGTGTTTAACTTGTGAAAATCGCATGTAGTAAAGCTAAAAAAGAAACTTACTTTAAAAACAAACAAAATCCCCCAAACAATCCTTTACCCCACTATAATTTTGACCTAGGCGTATATTAACTTCTCATTTTCATCTTCCTGTACACATAATTTATAGTTGTAATGTCTATATAACTATTGTACTACAATGGATCATAAATATTTTCCCATTTCCACGTATGCCTTAATAATAAAAATGATGATGTGTGTATGTTATTCTGTTGAGTAATATGCCCTAAGAAATTAGATTATATTTGGAATTTGTCCTCCATTTTTTTTTTTGACCATATAGTTTTAAATTTAAATTTCTATGGGGTGCCTGGGTGGCTTAGTTGGTTGAGTGTCCAACTTCCGCTCAGGTCATGATCTCACGGTCTGTGAGTTTGAGCCCCGTGTCAGGCTTTGTGCTGACAGCTCAGAGCCTGGAGCCTGCTTCGGATTCTGTGTCTCCCTCTCTCTCTGCCTCTCCCCTGCTCATGCTCTGTGTCTCTCTCTGTCAAAAATAAATAAACATTAAAAAATTTAAATTTCTTTGCCTTAAAATAAGATGATTGGAGATGTTGGAATCACTACACATTTTAGTTTGTTGTTTTGGCACTGTTTGACTATAGGAATGATAGTTCTATTTTTAAGTTAAGAGAAAATTGTCTTCTAAAGTGATAGGCATTTAAGATGAACAAAATCTAAAATGTTCACCTAAAATTGTTTCTAGGATGCTCTTTAGAAAACTGCACTTCTGTCTAGCCCAGATAAAACATTTGTCCTTTGATATTTTTTATCTAAAAATAAATCAAGTCTTTGTCTCAATAGGAAGATTATTTCTTTGGCAAGTGTTTTGATGTGATGGAGGTAGACGCATTAAATTCTTCACACCCTGTGTCGACAGCTGTAGAGAATCCTGCTCAGATTCGGGAAATGTTTGATGAAGTTTCTTATGAAAAGGTAAAAATGGATTATAAGGGTACATTTTAGACATCAAACTTATAAAGACTTTGGTGGAGAGATGACAGAGGGTTGTGGGGTGGCTTTCCATAAGGAACAACCCAGATGGAATGCCTTTTATGCTGTCCCATGCTGGCAGGGGCTTAACTTTAAGTTAAACTTAAACTTGACTCTTTAAGGCTTAACTTGAAGTTTGGTTTGTAATCCTAAAGATTATATTATAGTCAGTTTGTCATTTACTCTGTCATAAAGTGAAAATCCATGGTCTACAATAACTTTGTCTTTTATTTATCATTCAACAAATAGGTCTTGATTGAGCATAATTGTTGTACCAGGCAAAAATCCGTGCCCCATATAGCTTGCCTTTCACTGCCTTCAAAAATGGTTTATATTGTTGAACTGCAAAATACTGTCCTATACGGTGTGTTTAATACAGAATTGGAAATGGTTGCTAACATCTAGTGGGAAATTTTACACAAAAATCTTGATATCTGGCTTCTCTGGACAAGAAAAAAGAAAAAAAAAGGATTCTTATGACACTGGTTACATGGAACCTGGGTAATTTCCCTTGGCAATGCAACCTGGAGATAAAGTCATAGTTCCTTCTTCATGAGATCAAGGATGCTTTTCCAATTCTCTTTCCATTCCCAACTGTTTCCATTGTTTTTAACGGGCAGAGAAGGTCATTATCATTGTACTAGGCTGTTTTATTTGTAGTAAACAACGGTATTTCTTCGATGTTTCCATAAGTAGTTCAGGGGAGATAAAAACAACACACAAGTACATAACTTGGTGGAACAAATTAGAAAACCCAAAAACAAACCCACACATACGGTTATTTTTTTTTTTTTTTATCTGTGAAAAAAGAGCCAAGAATATACAATGGGAAAAGGAGAGTCTCTTCAATTAATGGCTGTCCCACGGTTGTGGGACCGAGCCCTGTGTCTAGCTCTATGCTGGATGTGGTGTCTGCTTAAGATTCTATTTCTCTGCCTCCTCTCCTGCTCCCGCACTCTCTGCCTCTAAAAGAAAACACACACACACACACACACACACACACACACACACACACACACACACACACACATTATATATTTATAATAGAACTACCTGCGTAGGGCAGCTCCATTGCTCTTTGTGCAGAATTAAAAAATAGAACTACCGTATGATTCAGCAATTCTGAGTGTTTAAAGAAAACAAAAACACGAATTCAAAGATAATACATGCGTTCATACTCATTATAGCATTATTTACAATAATGAAGATAAGGAAGCAACCTAGGTGTCCATCAATGAATGAATGGATGAAAAATGTGATATGTATATACAGCAGAATATTATTCACCCACAAGAAAGAATGACATTTTGCCCTTTGGACAGTGTAGATGGACCTTGAGAGCATTATCCTAAGTGAAATAAGTCAAAGACAAATACCATATGATTTTGCTTATATGTGGTATTCTTAAAAAACAAAAAACTTCACCTTTCACAGAACAGATTGGTGGTTGTCAGTGGGTGAAGGGGGTTAAAAGGGTACATATTTTTAGTTAGAAAACCTTTAAGTCACTGGGATGTAATTTACAGCATGTACTATATAGTTAATAATACTGTATTGCATATTGGGAAGTTGCTAACAGTACATCTTTAAAGTCCACATCAAAAGAAAAATTGTAACTCTATGTGGTAACAGATGTTAACTAGACTTATTGTAGTAGTCACTTCACAGTATATACAAATATTTAATCACTATACACCTGAAACTGTTACATGTAAATTATACCTCCATAAAAACTTCAAATATTTGTGTTTTTTAAAAGTTTATTTAGTTATTTTGAGAGAATGAGCAAGTGTGAGTGGGGAAGGGGCAGAGAAAGAGGGAGAGAGAATCCCAAGCAGGCTCTGTACTGATAGCCCCAACATGGGGCTCGAACTCAACAACTGTAAGATCATGATCTGAGCAGAAACCAAGAGTCAGAAGCTTATTAACTGATCCACCCAGGCACCCCATCAATAAAAACTTCAAAAAGTATCCATTCTTTTGGCAGAGATATGCACTCCATGTCGATATTCAGGGATCCTGACTTTGCCTGTTATCCCCACCGTCCCCTAGAGCCACAGAAAAAGGGACAGTCTATGTCTTGAGAAGATATAAGAAATTCTCTCAGAAAAGGAGATTTTGTACTTCTTAAAGGGTGATTTCTTTCTAGGAAGAAAAGGAAGTAGGAAGGGCTTTCAGGGTCAATGGAATCATTATTGCTTAGAAAAAAGATTTAAGATAAGATAGTATATACAGGAAGTGAATAGAGGGGTTTGAGGGGAGAAGAAGGATGTTTTTGGGAATTAGAAAGTTACATTGAAAAAAAAGGTGGAAGAAGACCAAAGCAGGAGGCATCACAATCCCAGACTTTAGCCTCTACTACAAAGCTGTAATCATCAAGACAGCATGGTATTGGCACAAAAACAGACACATAGACCAATGGAATAGAATAGAAACCCCAGAACTAGACCCACAATCGTATGGCCAACTAATCTTTGACAAAGCAGGAAA